GTCTTGCTCTGGAGGAAAGTGGGGTGTTCCATCAGGTAGAGGCAGGGTAGATTATAGAGCAAGAGGGGAGGAAAAGGAAAAGAATGGAGGAGAAGGGAGGGGTGAGGACAGAGGGAAGGTTGGGTTAGGGATAGCTAAGTTAGGGATATTTAGGGTAGGGAGGATTAGGTTAGGGCAGGTTTGTCTAGGGAAGGTTGGGTTAGGGAGATTGGGTTAGGTAGGTTGGGTTAGAGAAGGTAAGGTGAGGGAAGGTTGGTTTAGAAAAGATTCCTTTGAGAAGCTCAGGTTAGGGAATGTTAGGTTAGGGAAGGTTAGGTTAGGAAATGGTAGGTTAGGAAAGGGAAAGGAAGGGAAGGAAGGGAAGAGATGGGAGGGAAGGGAAGGAAGGTGGGCAGGAGGGGAATAAAGCACTTATAAATATTAAGATGAAGCAGAGCTTCACCATGATAGGGTCTATGCAGGAGTTTCTCTAAGATATAGCAAGATTTCAAGCAAGGGACAGAATATAATGAAAGAGAATTCTTTTGCTCTTCAGGTGGGAATATTCTTCTTTAAGTGTGCAAGGTGTGCACCACAGACCAGTGGAATATGAAGTGTGTTGCAGAAAGTTGCTTGGCCTATGAGCTACAGATATAAAGTCTTACTAGTGTCAGTGACATTAGTGGTTTTCAGTTTCCGGAATTACCTAGTAGACCTGGAAGGTTAGTGAGGTTTCAGGACACAATGAAGCTAAGAGTATGGACCGTCAAAAAGAAAGGGTGCAAAGGCGGGAGGCCAGGGAGAAGCAGGGAGGGGGCTCTGCATGAGGATGCAGGTGTGATCGTCATCCACACAGCAAGCTAGTAAGTCATTCCAAAAAGAATGGAAAAAGAATAGGATCTTGTTTAGAAATGCAACAGTAACCAAAGAAAAGGTAGAAAATATACCATTACCCAACTTGTAGAGACTCAGGAGGTAGGTGCCTGAGAGGGAAATCAATAGGTCTGGTATAAAGTCCACAAATCACAAACACAAGTGAACTCACAGAGTTGGGGTTGACTGGACTAAGATAGAAATGGGTAGAAGAGTTAGAGGTTGCTGCTAGAAAACAGGATTATAGTGACAGAGAGACCACAAAAAATGACTGCTATATAAAGGCATTATTCATTGGAAACTTGGATTTGTGAGCCCTGTGTTAGATTCAAAAGTCTCAAAACTTCCAGGAATCTGTGTTTTTGAAGAGCCACTCAGTTGGTTTGTATGTCCTCAGCCTGGTCCAGAAGCCACTGTCTTGGGGCCTGGGATAGATTGGGAGGAGCTGTCCCTATCTTCTCTGTTTTGGTGGGGCCTGGATTGTTCCCAGGACTCAGCATTTCTGATGCCTTTGTGGGGTGGGGAAGTGAGGACGGTAGGGTTGTGTAGCAATTTCCCATGGAGAAGATCATGGGTCTCCTTCTCCTGTCCTTTGATATGCTTCCAGCTCAGGAGGAAGTTGACTCATAACTGGGCTTCCTGATAATTTCTACATTTCCTTCTTCCTGATTCAAGATGTACTGATCTTGTGGGCCATTCTGGTTCTCCATGTGAGAGGATGCCTCACTCACTCCTGACCTTTGGGTGACGCTAGCCTTGGTACTGGGTGTGCTGTGACTTTCTTAACCTTTACAGATAGGACTTTATGAACCCTTCATGCCTTCATGGCTGCTCAAAGGCACACCTGGTTGCTCAGCTCACTTGGAAATGGGCTACATAATGCCCATGATGTCAGCAGAAGTCCCTTGAGTGCATAGAAAAGAGCACTCAAGAGGGAATCTGGAGCCCAGAGTTCTAATCCAGCAGTGCCATGGCTGGTTGTGTGGACAGGGACTCGAGCCTCCTGAAGTGCAAACACCTTGGTTTTCTGAGAGCTGTTCCAGAGAAGGGCCCTGACGGCCTGGCTTCTAGAGTCCTCTGATTTTCCACTCTTGCCTCTCACAATGAGTACATGGTAAGCATGGTAGCCCCACTGCTCACTCTAAGGGCTCTATGAACTGCACATCAGTGTTTTCTGTTCACATACATTGGTGCCCTTAATCAGCAGTGTAAATCTGCAAAGTAGGCATTATTATTATTAAGACAGGATGTTAAAATGGGATGTTTTCCACCTCAGGTTTTGAAGGTTGAGAATAAAATAGTAGATGTCAACCAGTGGGCCCAGGCAATACACAGATGCATGGCTCAAAATGGGTGGTTAAAAAGTGTTCCACCAACTTAACCCATCACCACATCCATCATCACAGCAAGTGCTGGCAAATTGCGGTTTTGATACTGGACTCGGGTGAACTTAGCATCATCAGAGAAACACTGAGCTAACTCTGCCTGAGGTTTGGTCCCAGTGGGGGGAAGGAAATAGACACAGGAACACTTGTAATGATGCGTTAGTGTTCTGTGACTGCCTTAATGAATGATCACAAATGTATGGGCTGAGAGGAGCTGTCCCTGTCTCCCTGGTTTTTGTCTGATAAATTGTACTAATGTCTTAGAGTTCTGTAAATGAAAAAATCCAACCTGAATCTCAAGTGGACTGAAGTCAAGGTTTCCAGTGAGTACATTTCTTTCTGGTGATGCAAAGGGAGAACCTATGCTCTGGACTTTGCCAAATTCTAGTGGCTGCACATTTTCCATGGCCCACTTCAAACCAGCAATGTTGGGCTGAGTTCTTGGCATGCTGTCCCCTCTCTGGTCCTTTTTCTCTTTCCTTCTATACTTTCAATAACTTGTTATTACTTTGGATCTACATGGATAATTCCTGGTAATTTAAGGGAAGCTGATTAGTAACTTTAACACCACTTGCAACCTTGATTTCCTTTGTGCATGGAGCCTCAGTTCTTCACCGGAGCTGGTTGTTAGGACAGGTTTACCTTTGGGGGCACTACCTACCCTACCACCAGTGAGGAGTGGTGGGAAAACAAAATCACTTCCATCTTAAACCTTCGTAAATATTTCTCATTTGCTTGGTAAGTTAATTGAGTCCCCTGTACAGACAGGCAAGAAAAGTAAATCCAGAGAAAGAGTGGTGTCTAGCCTTGACCATGTATTGACACCCAACCCCCAGAGATTCTGGGGCATGCATTAGCATGTTGTAAATGTTCCCAGGTGAGTCTGGCAAATAGTCAAGGCCAGTGTCTTACTTTTCTCATGGCTGAGACAAAATATTCAACATCCACAGTTAAAGGAGGAAAGGTTGATTTAGCTGAGTTTGTTGAGGTTTCAGTTCATAGTTGGCTGGCTCCAAGGTAGTGTGCCACAGAAAAGGGTCATGGCCAAGGAGAAACAGTTCATGGTGGGCAGAAGGCAGCAAAGCAGCAAAGTAGAGAATCAGTAAGTGGCAATTTTCTTCCTTAAACCCCCTTAGGGGGCAGGTAGCACTCATATGGGGGGGCACCCTTAATCCTACCCAGAACTATGTCAAACCAGTGGACTAATTTAGTAATCACACACCCTTCATCCCAGTATCACGACTCTAGATCCAGCCACGTCTAAAACCCCCCTTATGATTGTGTGATGCTTTGGGGGGACATCTAGACACAAACTATAACACTAAGGAACCACTGGAGTCAAAAGAAATTCTCCAAGTCATCCAACACCTGGCCAAAAGTGCTTCTCACCTCAGAGGGCTGCCTCCCCTCAGAATCCCATGACACCACTGAGGGGGAGCTGTCTCCTCTTCTTTCCTGGAGGGAATGTTCCCTTGACCTGGAGACTGACCCGAGTTAGGCTCTGTTCCTCCCCTCCTAGTATGCATCTCAGCACACTGTGAGCCTTTCTGGGCTTCTTCCAACCTGCACATCATCTTTAAACTTGGTCTGAACTCAAGATTATGGGTGAGAACACATTTTATAATGTGCCATGTAAATGACAGAGACTGCTGACTAATTCTTTTTTTCTTTTGAAGAAACAAAGATAGAGAAGGGAAGACAGAGAGACAGAAACAAAGAGACAGAGAGACAGAGACAAAGAGGAAGTGGGGTGAGTTTTCTTATTAATACATATATGACATTTATATGGGTATATTATTTTATTTAGATTTCTCTATACATTATTGTGTGTTTTATTACTTTCTGAGTACTCTGGTGAGATGAATACTTCTACTTAAGGAATATTGTGTAAAATGTAGAAGTATAATTATCAAAGTGTTTTTCATGGCTTTTCAATTTTATCATACATAATAGCATGTTGTCACATTCCATGGATGTAATATCTACTCTAAATTCTGAGACTATGAAAATGTTTTAAAATTACTTCTTCCTCTGTTGCCTTATTTTGAACTGGCTTTCTTTTTCATTATATTATGAATGATTATTCACTGTACAAATCAATGGCTATCACTGTGACATTTCCATAAGCGCATATATCTTGCTTTGATCTCATCTGCCCTTCCTACTGTCCTCTTTCATCCTCCCCAGAGAGTTCACAAAGGTTTTCTCTCACAAGTGTGTCCCTTCAGGCATGAAGATGAGGAACTTCTTGCTTGTCCAGGAACCCAAATCAACCAACAGTTGCTGTGCTCATTTTGTTTCCTTGTACCTGCTCCTTGTCACCTTCAGGCAATGCCATCAAGTCTACTTGCCACAGGGCCCATGGCCGTATCCCTTCCCTGCTCCACCTCTTTGGCCTTGGTTCCAAGTTCACAGTCTCTGGCTGAAAAGTAGTGTAGCTCAAGTTGGCCTCCCATCTTCATTCTAGAGCTTTCCTGAATAAATCTTTTCCATCACTCAGATTGGCACTGTCACTCTGGGCCTACCATATATGGGCCCCCATTTCCTGTGTCACTGTCTTCTATTTGTCTGACTTTCTCTATGTCTGTAGGGACAAGGCTCCTGATTCCTCAGCATCCAGAACAGGGCCTGGTACATGGTGGATGCTTTCTACATATTTGTTGGAAAAAATAGCAGGCCGGAGTTTAAACCTCAGGGAAATTGTTACAATACAGTTTGGTGTTGCCCAAGAATTGCCCTGGATTCACAAATCAGTCATTGAAGTATTAATGCATGTAGACACTTTATTGAAAACAAGTGGCTATTCTAGAGAATGAGCTGACCGTGGTGGGTGGGTGGGTGGGGGGCTCAGGAGAACATCACTTGCTGTAGCTCTTCGGACCTGGCTCCGGGAGGTCCAGGAAGTCTTGTTCCAGCTCAGACCCAGCCAACAAATCTTCATCTTCACTCCCTGCTGACTGCCCATCTAGGGCTCTGTCTGAAACAAAGAGGCAGCCAGGTTGGCCAAGGCCAGATCAGGGATTCTCTTCCACAGTCCTTTTCCCTTTGGTCCAGAAAGGTCCCAGCCTCTAGTGGTCATTTCCCCCTAATGCCCCACAGAGGGGCACCATGGGAGGTTGGGAAACCAGATTCATCTCCCTATTACAGGGCCATGCTGAGGGTACAGTGGTACTGGGGTTTGGCCTTGGAAGCCAAAAGCAGAGTTGAGGAGATAAAACATGTTGGACAAGGTCCTGACTCTGTTTCCTGCTTCTCTCCCTGCCCTCCCCACCAGAGGAACTGTCATTCTGGACCTTCAGCCAGTGATAAATGAGTCTCCCTCCTTTGAGCCCCACTAGTCTGGGCTCAGACTTCCAGCATGGTTCCAGGAGAGCTTAGGGCACCTGCCAGGTTCTGTCTCTCATTTCCTCATCTTTTAGATGCTTCCCAAGGGCATCAAGCTTATCATTATATTCTTGATGCCTTTATTATGATTAAGTTTCTCTCCTTATTATCTCTGCAACAGGAGTGTGGGAGCAAATGGTTTTTCATGGGCTAGAATTGCCTGTCCAGGATTTCTATCTAGTCCTTGAAGGGCTAGGAAGATGAAGTTCAGAATCTGGACTTCTTTTCTGTACCAGTGTTACTGGCTAGGAGCTCACTACTCCATCTTCCTCTCCTTGGGCTCTCTCTTGCTTTCTTTGCTGGACCCCATGAGAATAGGAGGCTCTTGGCAAAAAGAACCCTAGAAAGCAGTCATGGGCAGGGGCTGATTCATCACCATCAATAACCCACAGGCCCCAGGCACATGGCCTAGCAGGCAACACACGCATCCAGTCAGCTGCTGATAACCAGCTGCTGCACCCCACCCAGCAATGCACCCCAGCAATGCACAACCAGCAATGCACCCCACCCAATCTCTGCACCCCAACCTTGTGCTTCACTACCTGCTGGCCCCTTCAGAGCCTGGATGTACTTGGACCAGAAGGAGCAGTCAGCTTGTTTCAGGGCTTGGCGAATGGGAAGCTGGGTGCTAAACTCCTGGTAGCTCTCTCCACCGGCCCCTGGGACAAAGTCAGGCCAGAGGGCTGCAAACTCGGGTGCCTTCCACGAGAACTCATGCTGATAATTGGGGTTTCTAGGGAAATGAGAAGAAAGAAATGTTCCTATGGAAACCTTGTCTCTCCTTTATCACTTGGGATCACTTCCTACCTGTACTCAGTCTCTGAGGGCAGTGTCACTTGTCTTTGAACACTGTGTGTGAACCCACAGGGATGGCCTGAAAGTGGAACCCTAAGTAGGCCCCAAAGGCACTGAGGCATAAAGGCTCCCTGGGCCCACTCCTCTCAGGCCTTTCCTGTAAAGGACAGAGGTGAGTCTGTGATCCAGTAGCATCACTCAGGTCAGGACCTAGTGCTGCCCTTTGGTCTTTCTGAGTGTGCAGGAGGCTAGAGTATTCCTTTAGTTCTGACCTCCTCTGATCTGGATACCATCACCAGTCTCTGGGATGCCCTGGTTTGTCCAAGGCTTCGGCAGTAGGATGGGTCCAGAGCTAGGGAACCTGCCTGCCACCCACAAGTCAACTCCCCTTGAAAGGGTCATTCCATCCCCTCAGACACAACCCAGCAGGCCCACCGTGCCCTCGACACCCACCTTGGCCCACACCACTCTTCCATCCACAGTGCCCTCTTCTCTGCTGGTCTGAATGTTCTACTCCTCTCTCAAGGCCCAGCATAAATGTCATTTCTCAGGGAAATGCTTTCTAAAACCCTAATTCGAAGAAAGGTCTTTTTCTTTTCAACTCCCACAGCAAACTACCGAAAATTTCATTTTGCCACGCTTTGACCTGTGTCTGGCTTTCATTTTTAGGTGTCAGAACCTTGTGGCTTTGTTGGATCAGGGCATCTTTCTTTTTACCTGTTTACCTCCCCTGGGAGCTTGGCACAGTCCTGGGGAATGTACACACATCCAGCAAGAAGGCAAGGGAGACAGAAACTAGGGGAAAGAGGGAAGTGCCAGCTCTGGGCAGTGAGGGAGGTGAGGGTCTTGCAGTCCTGGCCAAGGCTGGAGGAGCAGGGAGAAAATGGAGTGAGGTAGGTCCAAATGGACTATGGCTCACACCCTACAGCAGTGATTCATCTTCCTGGGGACACTGGCTCTCCTTCCAGGGGTCCCCTGCCCAGGGATAATGGTCAGTTCCTGAGACAGCTTTGCTTGTCATGACTGGGATAGGTGGGTACCACTGACATTTACTGGGCAGGGGCCAGGGATGCCATGTCACCTCCTATACACACAGGACATGCACAAACAAAACCGCCAGTGGAGAGCTATGAAGTGTGGCTGGACCATAGAGGGACGTAACAGGAATATCATGAAGATTAATCTGTACGAAGGTGTCTTTAGCTAGCGAGGGGAGCGAGATGAGACAAGGAGGGCAACGGCCAGCACTCCCAGCAGCTAGGGAGGAAGGCTGAGTCCACTGAGCAGACTGTGAGATGGGAGGGACAGAGAGGGGAGCATATGACACAGTTCAGGACAAGTCGTCCACTCACCCAGATCTGATGAAATTGGACACGAATTGCATGATTTTCAGGGACAAGCTTTTCTCCTCCAGGGAAAACTGGCCCTCATAGGCAGGGTAGAAAGGAAGTCCAAAGGCATACTGAACATCTGCCAGCAACTCCAGGCTGGGGACACGGGGGGAAAGAAGAGGCAAAAGTTAGGGCAGTAGTACACCCCTGGAGAAACCAAATGGGCCCCAGACTCCTATTCTTCCCAGAAACAAAGACGTCCTTACTTTCCACCTTGTTTAAGACTCCTGTGAAGTGCTCAGCATAGCTGAGATTCAACTCAGCCTTGAGCTGATAGCCCGTGGGGAGATTCCCGGCATGGGTACTAGCCTAAGCTCACCCACACTGAGTAATAGTGTCTGGGAGCAATTTTCCAACAGAACGTCCTTTGACCATATTCCAACCCTGTATTCACAGTGTCCTTGAATATTTGTTTCCTCATCTATTTATTGGCGAAGTAATGGAAAGAGCCCAGGTTTTGAGCCCCTCCTGTGCATTGACCCCTTTCTCTATGTTACCAGCACCCTTGCAACCCCTCAGAATTGGTGCCCATTTACATAATCCACCCTAGCAATTGGTGCATGGTAGTTATCCAATAAATACACTTTGGGGTTGGACTGAATCTCTAGCGAGCAACAGGCAGGGAGAATGACGAGTTGGGAGACTGTCCAGAGGCCCATGTGGGCTGAGCCGGTGGTGACAGCTGATGAGACTGCATACTTTGGGCCCTGGAGAGACACTGTGAGTGGACACTGCAATTCCCCAGGGGAGTGAGCGTGGAAAAGCTGGGAGACATTTTACAGCTGTGTAGTGAAGAATTTGGCTCTTTCCCAAAGAAAGGTCTGGCTTTGCCCTTCCTCCTGGGAAACAAGTCATGCCTGGCGGGAATGCCTTTGCTGAAGGCAGAGACTGGGCACATGGGATCACAAAGGGGATGTAGCCATGCCTGATGGTCTTAAAGTGGGGACTGGCCAGGCTAAAAACACCACACAGGCATTTTAGCTCCAGTAAATATTGTGAGCACCAAACTTAGGCGTGTTGCTCTGCACCCTGACACATCTGTGCAGAGAGAAGGCTGTGTCCACACCCACAGGGAGAGGAGGATGGAGCTTCACATTTGGAGGGCTCTGGGCTTGGCACCACGCCCCTCTCCCAGTGGCTGATCCTTTCCCTATAATGAGTCATTGCTATAAGCATTGCTTCTTACCATGAATTTTATGAGCCTTTTCAGTGAGTTACTGCACCTTAGAGTGGTTTGGAAAACTCCTGAGATAGCAGTTTGTGTCAGAAGAGAGAGAGAGAGATCTTGGGTAGCAACAGAGCCCCATAACTCAGTAGCTGGCCTTCCCTTGTTGAAGAATTATCTCTCAGTTTCACAAGTGAGGCAAATGAAGGCCAAGGAAATTTCTTGATTTCTCTCAGAAACACACAGTAAGTTGAACAGAAGAGGTGGCTCAGAACTGGTATTTTCAGGAAGACAATAGGGTGTCAGGCCCCAGGCAGCCACCGTTCCTGCATCTTGGTGCCTCCCTCTTCAGGCTGAGTGACCTCTGGCAAGTCACCTGGCTCCCTGATCCCACACTTCCTCGCTCTGGAATGAGTACGTGAACACCTGCTCACATGGCTGTTGTGACCGTCAAGATCCGCTGGTGCAGGAAGCAGGAACTTCAGGGAAGGAGTGTAGTTCAGGTCCTCTCCAGCACCCCACCTCCCCATGTGGTCAGTGACCTTTGAGGTAAGGGCAGACCTCTGATGGAGCACACATGGTTCTCATCATGCTGGGGGTGGGCACATGAGCCCTGGACACATGTTTTGGGGTAGGGCTCAGGCAGGGTGGCTCCTGGATAAAGGCCACCTGCCAGAGGAGTCAGTCACATGAAGTGTGGTGCATCGTCAACATACAGTTAGTGCTGGCTGTGACCCACAGCGTCACCCAGAACGCTGGGATAAGGACCCCCCAGCACAGGGCTTTGAAGGGCAACACTTTATGTGAAGACCTCTCTAGCGCAGGGCTTTGAAGGGGAACATTTTAGTGGAGAAGGCATCCTCTCTAATGTTGCTGTTCAGGATAGAGACCAGGGTGACGGCACAGGTACTGGGGCCCTATGCCAGGCCCTGCCTTAGCTGCATTTCCAACAGCTCCAGCCAGTTTTCTCTTATGTATGGCTATGGATGTCATCAACAGATGTGTCTGTGACTGGTAGCAGGGTGTAGGATGGAGGTAAGCTGAGTCAATCAGCTGAGACTTGGCTCGGAACTTACTGACTCTGCCTGTGGATGAATCTTTCGATATTTTTGTGATTTGGTCTTCCTCCTTGTAGAGCACTAGGTCCAATGAGCCATTGCACACGGCAGGTGTAGCTGCCATCGTGTCTTACAGGTACTGCTTATTACTCTCCTCCTGCCCTGTGCCCTGTGCTGAACCCAAGCCTGGAAGGCAAGGTAGGGAACCCTGGAAGACACGCAGCATGGTCAGGAAGGGCAACAATCAGAAACTACAGTGCCTCTCTGCAACTGTAACTGCGTGCAGGTGTCCTGGGCCCTTTTGGAAGATGTTTCAGTTTTCTGAAAGGGATCGGGAAACAGCAAATGCCATTGCAATTTGGAGGGCCCTGGGACCCAAAGAGCTGCCACATCTACTTCTTGTCTGTTTTCTTTATTTGTTTTTAATTAACCTATTATACATTAACACATTATGCTTGCATATATTTTGGGTGTGCAAAGTGGTGTTTTGATTTTTTTTTTGCAATACTAAAGATGGAACCCAGGGCCTCATGCATACTAAACTGGCTCTCCCAAGCTGTTATGATTTTTGAACCCAGTGTGGATGATAAAGCTAATTATACTTTTGTCTAACTTATTTGTGATAAGAAAATTAAACATTTAGTCTTAGTGATATTGCAATTTACAGTAGTCAATTCTTAGCTCTATTCACCATGCTGTGCCATTGATCTCAAAAAAAAAAAAAAAAAATCAGACTTCTTTCTCCTCTCTATCAGAGGTTTGTGTCTTGGCCTTTGTCTCCCACTCCCACCACCTCCAGCCACTGGGATCCACTGATCTACGGATGGCTCAAACAGTGCCCCAAACTCTGTGGCAAACCATCGGCCCTTGATTGCCAACCTTCAGGAAAGGACGGAGGACTAAATGCAACCACCCACATACTTCGCAGATGTCAGCCCATGACTCAGAACCATACAATGTCATGCTGGAGACACACAAAGCCAGCACTCAAACCTGAATCCCCCAGGACCAAGTCTATGTTGTATGTAGTCTGCCATGAGCAGGGCACTAAGAACAGATGTATTTAGACCCATAAAGGGGAAAGAAAGGTAAGACAAAAATGATAGGTAGGTAAAAGTTATGGTTACAATAAGAACAAGGACTCACGAAGACTAGCTCTGGGTACTTTACAGAGCACTGTCACTCTTACTATGACAGCATGCACGGGTGACAGAGATCATTACTTCCTCCAGTACTGCAGGAAATGGGCTCACAGTGGTTGTTTTCTTGCTGAGGCCCCAGAACAATTCCTTGGGGCAGCGCTGGCCGCAGAGTGCTGGCCCAGGGTCGCAGGGACCACATTCTGCTCTCTCCCCACTGTCTGCCTGCCTTTCTGCCCAGTGTCACCTGCCCCCATCCCTCGAATTGGGAGGAAGGTGAAGCAGCCTGCTTCCCGAGAGGCCTTTCTGGGAATGTGGCTGAACTGTTTGCGGTTGCTGCATTAGGAGGTGATGATACCTGAGGGACTTCAAATAGCACACATGACATCTCTCAGTGCCTGGGATTTAGAGGTCTCGGGTGCATCTCCCTGGGCGAAAGTCACAGTGCTAGCAGGTGTGTTCCTTCCAAAGACTCTGGGGGACGATCCTTGACCTACTCATTCAGGTATGTGCTTGAGGTGCTGGACTCAAGCCTTTGCTTTCTTGCTGCTACAACTGGAGGGCTATTCCCAGCAACTAGAGGCCAACTGGGCCCGAGTCCCCAGAGGGTGGGTCCTTATCTCACATCCTCGTGACATACGCTTTTGCCTCCTGCTTCTACTTTTAAGGCCTCAAGGATTAGACTGGGCTTACCCGGGTCTTTGGTCACAGCTGCAGATCCCTTTGCCACAGAAGGAAAGGTATCCACAGGTATCAAAGTTCAGAAAATAGACACTTTGAGGAACCATGTTTTTCCCACCACGGCTGCCCTGTCTACTATTCCCTTCAAAGAGAGCGGCCTTCCGCAGCATTTCAGGTGCCGAGGAAACAGGGGCAGACTCTTGAGACCACTGTCCTCACTCAGAACCCAGCTCAGTCAGGTTGCGTCTGGGTGAATGTGGACAAAAGGCACAAGACTCCTGGGCCTCAGTGTCCTCATCTGCGAGTTCGTGATGGTCAGTCTTGCCCTAGTCCTTGATAATGTTTGGCTAATGGAACTTTCAGGTCTCTGGCCCCATTTCTGGCTCATTTTCCCTCTCCCTTTTCATTTCCCGAGGGGCATCTACAAGGTTAGGAATGAGGGTTGTTAGTCCAGGGTCACTACAGGCTTTGTGCCACCTCAAATTATATGCAAGATGTGAAGCTGCATCTCGATGGATCTGCATTTTTTTGATAGTACTAGAAAGTGGGCTATATCCCCAGTCCTTTTGAGTTTTTATTTCAAGACAGGATCTTTTTAGATTACTAAGTTGCCCTAACATGACTTGAAACTTGTGATCCTCCTGTCTCAGCCTCCCCCAGTGCTGGGATTACAGGTATGCACCATCACACTGGGCTTATGTTCATCTTTCTTGGGATATGCTCCACATATATTACCACACTCTCCAGAAAGTGCCGAGGATAGCTAGTGAAGGGTTGGGGTGACTCTCAGAAGGGAAGGTAATCTTACTCACAGCATTTGCCAATTTCCATATTGTAAATACTTTCGTCATAGCCACATTCAGACTGTCAAAGTGACATCACTGAACAGGGGGAGGGGCAGAGCCACACACAACCGGCTCCTCCCCTGCAGCCTTGACCTCTGAAAGGCCAGCAGGCGCTGTTCTTGGGGGAAGGTCTGGCATTCCAGCCCATCCTGCAGGCTTGATTGAGAGCTTGATGGGTATGAGAACTTCTGCCTGTTTTCCCTAGCAG